TTTAATTGAGGAGAACTATCTTATGAGAAGATCTCCACGTTACATTTCACTACAGGAGTGAAATGCCTGCTGCTACAGTCTTTATTTAGTTAATTGGAGTCAGAGCCAGGTGTCCTCAGTCATTATCTTGCCTGGGCCATGCAGCAGCTCTGCATGTGTGTTCAATTTCCAGTATCAATGGCTCCCAACAGCCTGGTAGGAGAGCACTTGATTAGCATGCCTGAGGCCCTGCACTGCTAACTATTAAAAAATGAACACTTATTTTTTAAAAAATACAGAGCTTCTTATGTGGTCTAATGGCAGATGGTACAGTTGGGTTTCAGAAAGACTCATAAAAAACTAGTACTAAAAGCCCGAGTGGCATCATGAAGTGGAACAACCCCTCCCTTCCTGTCCTCACCCTCAGGCCTGTGGGCTCTTCTCTGTTTTTCTCTTTCTCAGTTAAATAGTTTCTCCAGCCTCAAATATAAGCAGGAATCTGATGGGTCCAGCTTCAAACTGACCTCCATTGGTCTAATTAAGAGTGGTGCTCACTTGTGCTGATACTACCTGACTCCAAACTCCCACTGCAGTTCACAGCACCAGTGATGATGTCCTTCAAGGATGTTCTGTGAGAGTCAGCTTGACCATTGCGGTCACTGTCCCTCTCCCTTCTCCAGCTGTCGGTGTCCTCTGCCATTGTCTATTTCCCTTTCTAGTCATTGCCCTGTCACTTAGCAGGCTGCATTGACCCCTCATGTCCTTATGGAAGCCCAGAGCCAAGTGTCTTGTGCAGTGTCACATGACTCGCACTCTAGCAGAGAAAACAAATGCTGAAGAGCTGGCAGACACATTATCTCTGATCATGACTCTTTTTTTTTTGTCTTTTTCGTTTTTATCGGTACCAGGGATCGAACTGACGACTGCCTGCTTGCAAGGCAGGCGCTTATGCCGCTGAGCTAAATCCCCAGCCCCAGATCATGACTCTTTCTATCTGTGTTCCAAGTTGTACTCAGGCTAGTCCATTTCAAATGGAAAGAGAAGAAAAACTAGAACAGAAGAAAATGGGTAATAAACCCTCCCCTTCTGTAGCTATGGACACTGATTAACATTTAGAAAATCAGTGAATCACATCCAGGGTTTCCATTTGTTCCAGATATCTGAGGTTTCCTGGAGGGAGCACTGTTCTCTCTTGTAGTGGGAGGAGGTCAAAATTCTCAGATAGCGCATCTACTGGACAGAATCATCATTCAGCTCCAACTCCCACCCCACTCACAGCAGCAAGGCACCTCCCAGTTTGGCAGGCAGAGGAGACCTTGTGCAAAGAACATGCTGTGCTGTACTTCCCAGCAATGGAGGCCACTGTTGGCCCTGGGAGGGTGAGCATCCTCATCAAGAAAGAAGCCAAGGGTGAGAAAGGCCATCCTGAAGTGTCTAAGGGGCCTACATTCTGTATCTGAAGCAGAATAAGTAATGGAATTGCTGTACATTATGTCACACTTACATTACAGACCTTCTACCTCAAACACAGACCTTAGCTCTACTTACCAGTCTATTTATGATGGAAAACGTCAGTGACCAGGGTAATACTTACAGCCCAGTACTATGGACAGTAAACTTTTCCTTCATGTATTTGTGAAGGTACCCAGTAAACATCTGTGTATGAAGAAGAAGAAGAAGGAGAAGGAGAAGGAGAAGGAGAAGGAGGAGAAGGAGAAGAAGTAAGCTAATAAAAGCCTGCGTGGCTACAAGAAGGCGTTTTGGTGGTGTGTGTGTGCAAACACGAGTGTGTGTGCCTGTGTGGTTTGTTTTGTTTGTTGGAAGGAGGTTGACTTTCTTTTTTCTTTTACTAATTTATTCACAAAGTATTTCAAATATACTGAAAATAATAAAAACAGACACACCCTAGGTATATCCTTACTGTAACTAATCAATGATGATGATTAAACAGACATGAATACTTGGACATTTTTGCTCAGAATTCCTCCATGTGGACACACTCTTTTTCTATAAAAGGTCACTACCTATACGTATCCCTCATGTCTTTTCCTGCCTCCCACACAGCGGCTGGCTGGACAAGTCTATTTTTACTGTACGTGGAGCATCTATAAATAATATGTGTGATTGTTCTCAAGTCTATTTTTACTGTATGTGTAGCATCTATAAATAATATGTGTGATTGTTTTGAGTCTTAAATATACACAAATGGAATTCCTTACATCTCATTTTGAAAACTGCCTTTTCTATTCCACATTATGTGTTTCAGATTTAGCGATGCTGTGGTCTACAGATGGTTCATTACTTTTACTCTCATATGTATTAGGTGTTTATAGGAACCTCATCTTGTGCATTCTCCTGCTGAGAAACACTGTATGTAGTTTTCACATTTTTGTCACTGTACATATTGTTTCAGTGGATATGTTATACAAGTCTTCTCAGGTGCACAGTTGGGTGTTTTGGAAGAGTGGATGGCTGGCTGTCACATTGCTTTCTAGGCAATTTCCAGCAAGTGCAAGAACTCTGCTGTCACTTTCTCATCCACGAAATGGGACTCTGGTTTATGACTTGGCAAGTCCTTCACAGAGAAAATGGCTATTAGAATTTTTCTAATAATTCTGCAAAATGGCAGGGGATATAGCTCAGTGGCATAGCGCCTGCCTGGCAAGCATAAGGTCCTGAGTTCGATTACAAAAAAAGCACAAAAAAAGTAACTCTGCAAAGTGCCTCTAATACACTAAAAGAAAAAGAGAAAAGAAAACAAGAATTGCTTAATGGATTCAGAGCTAAAGGAGATCTAATTGAAACTGTGATATTTGATGTTCCTTAGAGATGATGATGGCTCTGGCTGCTCCCTGCGCCCCTGCGACTCTCATCTCCCATTGGTTGTCTGGGCTGGAACCTTTCCCATCTCACCCTGGCCCAAACTCTTTGGAACCATGTCTGTACATGGCATAGTGCCTTTCCTGACGGCCTGGGAGCACCTCCGGCCGGTGGTAGGTCTGCTAAGAGCTGGGCAGGAAAGTCACCTAACTTTGAGGCTATAGTTTTTATTTTCCCTCTCTATTTCCTTCCTTCCTAACTGCTCTCCCTTGCTCCCTCCTTCCTTCCTTCGCTCAAGGCAATTCTGTTTTACTTGCTCCATTTGGGAGTACAAAATTTAGATTCTGTGTGCGTCCTCACACAGCCCTTCAACTGACACCTGGGCTCACCAGTGCCTCTGTAAGTTCAGCCAGGACCTCACAGCAAAACACTTATCTGTGGCAGAGGCAGGCTCATCTGGGCAAATGCCAGTTCTTTCCAGCCAGCAGCACGGGGGAGCAGAGGAGCACACTGCGCCCTGTACATCTGTGCGACTGCAGGCTCGCACCTGGCCCTGAGTGAGCTCCCCCCAGCTGTACCCTGTAGTTCAGCTGTCACGCATGTGCCCTGCGATGAGACTGTCCTCGGGGACTCAGCCCCAGGTCGCATGCAAGGACTCAGCAGCCCCAAAAAGCTAACAAATGGCCAGGCCAAGACTCACAAACACCCAAGGAGTAGAGCTGGCTGGTTGGGGGGACTTTCCTTGGATACAGAAGGTCCCTGCTGTCAATACAGGGGAAGGAAACTCCCAACCTACCTGATGTTCGGCCTAAGTCCGTGTTCTCTAAAAATGAAGAATGAATTTTAGAAACAATGGAGGTTAAGAGCACAATCTATTTATTGAGAGAAAGAAAGCTACTGAGAGAGAGAGGCACAGAAAGGACACCAAGGGGGTCACCAAAGACGCTGTCTTTTCAGGGACTTCTATAGAGTAAAACCACAAAGTGAGACAGGTCTAAGGTGGGGAAAACATGGAACCCACAAGATGGGCATGAGGTGGGACAGAACTATAGTTAACCAATGAGATCGACTGTTTAATAGGGGACAAATGGGGAAGGTAAAATTGATTAAATAGGGGACAAATGGGGAAGCGAGTCCATAGCAAGTGGGCATGCTTAAAGAACAGTGACTCTTCCTGTACAGGGTTGGGTTGGTGAGTCCTGGCTTCATTAGGGCCATAGAGACCTATTTAGAATATCAGTCCCTGATGTTTACCCTTAGGATGAGAGCATATGTTTTGATCTTTTATCTCGAGGTCTGGCCCACAGCGGGAAGTCTCTGTCTCCCCCATAGTTATAAGGTATCTGGTACCCCCTCTATCCCCTCCAGGAGAAGGCCCTGGCCTGTTTCATGGTCACTTGCTATGTAACTCGCTTCCCCATTTGGTCCACATTTAATCACTATTACCTGAGCAGTTATGCTCATAATCACAAAAGTCAGCCTGGGACGGCTGTGGGGGCTGGGATTTCAGCCGGCAGGACTGCGCGCTGGGAGGAAACTGGCTTGGAGACCTGTGATCGCCCGGTACCGGCGCTGCCGCGTCCCCGCACCGCGCCCTCCCGCCCCAGCGACTCTGCGGCTGCATCTTAGCGAGGCGTCGGCCAATCCAGCTCGAGGTGCGGCTCCGGGCAGCCGGGGTGGGTGAGGGGCGGCGGCGGCGGGGGGTGAGGGGCGGCAGCCTCTCCTGAGTGGGTGCGGGGCAGGGCCCAGGACTCGTTTTCCACCGCTGGGGGCTGAGGCTGACCTGTGCTCTGAGTACTCCAGAGAGAAGCTTGGGAGTCCTAGCATTAGAGTTACGCTCTGACTCAAAGAGGGATCTGGGCTCGAACCCGGGACCAATCTGGGGTGAGCTGGAGATGGGATGCAGGGGCAGTTGCGAGCAGAGGGGATCCAGGTTGTTTAGCGCCCCGGCTGCAAGCAGAGCTCAGCCTAGGTACCAGGATCCAGGGTGAGGAGGCGATCGGTGCGCGGGGATGCGGGGCACACGCAGTCCGGAGGGCCCGGGGCACCAGTGTCCGGGAGGCGCTGAGTCCGGACGCGCACCGGATCTCGCGGGTGCCGGGGCGGGGGCCTGAAAGGGGGCAGGGAGGGGCCGGGGCGGGCCGCGGGGCGGGGCTGGCGAGGGGTGGACTGCGGGTTCCCAGCGCTCGGGGCTCACACAGGCGAAATGCAGCGGCGCGGACGCACCCTCCTGTGCCTGCTGCTGGCGGTGGCGGTGCCCACGGCCCCCGCGCCGGCTCCGACGGCGACGTCGGCTCCCGCCCAGCCGGGCCCGGCCCTCAGCTACCCGCAGGAGGAGGCCACCCTCAACGAGATGTTCCGCGAGGTTGAGGAGCTGATGGAGGACACGCAGCACAAGCTGCGCAGCGCGGTGGAGGAGGTGGGTGTCCTGGCTCGGGAAGTGTGCGGCTGGGGGAGCGGGCCAGTGCTGCGAGCTCGCAGGGCGCTGGGAAGGAGCCACGGCAGACGCCGAGCGACCTGAGGGAGGCGGGGTGAGCTGGTCCCGGTCTCTGCCGGTTCGTCCTATGCTGCCGGCGAGCCAAAGGTTTGGAACAAGGCGGTTTCCGCAGATTCTCGGCTGGACCTCACCCTGCCCCGGGTGCCACGGTCTCTTTTTGCCTGCAGACCGCCGGCCACCAGCTTGCAATTGTCTCAGACTGAGCGTCGGCCTTTCCGTGTTGGAGGCGAAGCTTGCAAGCTCTCTGGCGTTCCAGAGCTGTGATTTTTGTAGAGAAATTGAGGTAGTTCCAAACAGCTGCAAGTCTTAGCCTATGTGTTAAGCTTTGAGTTTGTGACTTTTCTCCACAAATTACAGTCAGGGTATCGAATGCCTGTAAGCCCAGCACTTGGCAGGCTGAGACCAGAGGATCGCTGAGCTCGAGGCCAGCCCTGGCTAAAGAGTAAGTTCAAGACCAACCTCAACTACTCATTGAGACCTTGTCTCAAAAAACAAAAGCAAAACAAAAAAAGTTAAGATGGCATATGGGGATCTGCTGGTAGTCTGTCTGGGAGGTCTCGATTCCTTTCTGAGGTAAAGACAGAAGGTGAGTGAGGGGCTGGTGACTGAGACCCTAAAAACAGCTACTTAAAGACCCAAGGTGTGGGCGAGGGTGTGAGAGGCGACCCCACCTCCACCCAAGAGTGCCTCACAGGTGGCGTTTGAACAAATCATCTAAAGTCCATAAAGAGCCTCAGTTTCCTATAAGAATTAAATACTGCAGTATGGCACCTGTGGAGTCACAGGTGTGCACTACATCACAGCTGATATTATCAGATACCAGGGACCACTCTGTGGCTTCTTCCTATCACTTTCCTGGGCCAAACAGTGGATGAGATTCTGCTCTGTCCTTTATGGTGGGCCCCAAGCATGGAGAAGGCTGTCTGGGTCCTCCTGATCTAGTGTGAGGGGAGCTGTCCCTGGTGCCTGCGATGGGCAGGCATGGTGCCTGTGGGGGCCCAGTTCTGGCTGTAACCTATCTTTGGAAATGAGCCAACCATCCCAGTGAAGGAGTCAGTGAGAGACCAGATGTCCAAACTGGCTTCTCCACATTATAGCTGTCTCCAGCTTGGTAGCCGCCTTGGGCAAAGTCTTAAATGTAGATTTTGGCAGGGAGGGGTCACTTTCTTCCCCTCACCATAAGTAATTTGGAGTTTTCACTGAAGGGATATTGGGTTGGCCGGCAGTGACATGAACAGCTGTACCTAAATGTCCACTCATCAGGCCCAGATCCCAAAACCCATGCATGGGCTCTGTTTACCAACAGAACAGTTACAACATGGAACAGTGCAAGAGTGAGAGGTGTCAGGTAGGCCCCTATGGCTCTTAACTCTGCAGTCACAAGTTACATTGAGCTTGTGAACTTTGTAGTTTCAGGCACAGCCACTTGGTTTCCTAATCTGGATGGTAGGACTTTCCTTTTGCACATGGATGCCCTCTAAGACTGACTTGGTTACCATGCTTTTATTCAGTGGGAAAATGCCCATCTCGTTTGGAAAGTTTGCAAGGTGGTCTCTGGGATTAGCCCAGAAGTCCTCATCAGTCTGTTCACTGGTCAGAGCAGTGGGGACCCCAGTAGGACCCTGGTGGTCATGTCTTCATATCCACATTGGGTTTTGCCAGAGCTCCCAGCCTTCTCCCTCCAGACAGGGCTCAGTTTGAGTCATATAGGTTGTTGGGTTAGTTTGCCATCAGAAGAGACAATGACTGTTTTATCTACCCCAGGTAGTGGTCATTTCTGAAGAAATGTCCTTGCAGATTGAGGACAGACAGGAAAGGTGAACAGACATGGCAGGACAATGGGCTGGAGAGGACCAATCTTCATCCAGTTCCAGCTCTGCCGCTGACTAGTGATGGGGTCCAGGGTCTGAAGGGGGAGCTGTCCATCCTAGGAGGAAAGAAAGAGTTAAAAGATAATTCGGGGAAATCAAGTTATCTGACCATCTAAAATTGAAATAAGTAAAATCAACAGGATGCAAGCACCTTTCTCATGAGGTCAGGATTATGGGAGATGGCTGTTTCCCAGTAAACAGTAGCTACTGTTATCATCATGTTAATAGTTGCATTGTGATTAAGAGTGAAGCACTGCCAACATCCATAGACTTAGTAGAACCTATCTTTAAATTCTTTTTAGATATCTTAAAGTACTAAAATCTAATGTTAAAATATTGAAATATATTTTCAGAGTATCTTCAAAAATAAAATAGAATACAGTGTGACAGATTAAGGCCATTATTTTTTTTGAAAGACTCTTCCAGAAAGCTTTTAAGTCTCATAAACACAAAATAGCTGTTAGTCATCCTACGAAAGAAACAAAAAGACTGGAGCAGATACTTTGATTGTTTACATAGTTGTATCATGAATCTGCTTTCAAGTAACTTCCTGGTATTTTATATATTCCAGCTGCCTCGGCCTGTTGATGTCTCTTAAGAGAAAAAGACAAAGTAGCTCTACTTGTAAGATCATTTATGACTTCAATCTGGGGTATTTCTATTTCCCTGTCTTATTACTCTTTTTTTTTTTTTTTTTTTTTTTTGTCTTTTTCATTTTTGTCGGTACCGGGGATCGAACTCACAACCGCCTGCTTGCAAGGCAGGTACTTATGCCGCTGAGCTAAATCCCCAGCCCCTGTCTTATTATTCTGAGTGTTCCCAAAACATGTATTTGGAGGATAAAACCACTCTATAGCTCCCACCCTCACTGCCACATCTGTAACTGATGTATTGTTGCCCTGCCTGGTCCCAGGAAGAACCCCCCCCCCCAGCCGGAATTTATCTGTCCAGGGCTCCTGCTGTGTCCTTTTAAAAGACATGAATTCAGCTACTCTCAGTGCCATTTTTAGCAGCATTCACATTCCTCCTCCATGAAACAACTATTGCTGCAGGCAAAAGTTTCTCCTGCTAGTGGCTGGAATAGTTGTGGCTGAAATTTCCATTGTAAACTGTACTTTGAGTTCACAGTGCTATTAAGGAACTGTTAGCTCATTCCATGGAGCTGACCACTGGCTGAGAGAGGGAATGGTTTTACAAAAAGGAAAGAAAGAAGAGGAAAGAAAGGCTATCAGCTCAGCCTGCAGCAAGCTTGTCAATTACTCGGAGAGCATGCTGTAGGCTACAGGTTCCAATGGGAATTTTGCATTCTGGAAGCGTCCTCTCTGGCATCTGCACCCTCCTTTTCTAGCTCTCTCTTTTCCATCACCAAACATGTTGTAAAAAGAAAAAGTCATTTTCTTGCCCACTCTAGCTCCCATTCTGCCTGCCTTATATTTCTTCTTTTTTTTCAAAAATTTTTAATTTATTTTTTTTCTTCTCCTTTCTAATAGGACAGTGTTATGAAGGCAGTGACATATTATGTCTTTGCCAAGTGGCAGGTACTGTACCAGTACTTAGAGTTCATGATCTTGATTCTTTGTAGGACTGTTGCTCATTTTAAAAACCAGCAAGTTGGGGTTTAGAGGCATTTGGTGTCTTACCCAAGGTCCCATGGCTACTTTGTGGCAGAGCCTGGATTTGAACCCAGTTTGTCTGACTCCAGAACTCTGGGGCTTCCTGCCAGGTAACTCTCTGTTGACATTACAGGCAACTGCTTGCATAATCCAGTGACCATTTCTTAGGAGCTTGGTCCTATTTTGGAGCCTTTGTCACCTAGAAAACCCTTCCCTAGATATGGCTCCTTTCTAGACTTGAATCTAACCAGTGCCCCAACTCTGCTGGTTCCCTTCGCTAGTCACTCTATTCTTTCCCAGCTTCTAGTACTTGCTGAAGCTCCTCATTGCCCGGAACAGAGGTTCTTACCTGGCTTCAGTTGGAGCAGAGGGAATTCTCAGAATCATTGAAGAAACTCATTGATATAAAGGGACCCCAACTCCTGAAATGATACTTTGGCAAGATGGGGAAGGAATCCCAAGTGTGTTTATTTTGAAAGTTTTGGGCATGAGCCTGAGATACATGTTTGGCTTAGAAATAGCCAGTGTGTCCTACATTAGAAGTCCCTTGTGGATCTGCCTGTTCACCTCTCTGTGCTTCATCTGCTGGTCACCATTTTTCCTGTGCCCAGCGGGGAGCCTCTGCTCTAGCTCTTGCTGGTCGGGGCTAATCTCTGCTGCTTGTTTTTTTTTGCACCATTCTCCACTCTTCTCAGTCCCCAGATGGTTACCTTCTGTGATCAGCCCGGTCCAGCCTGTCCTCTTCCTGGAAGCTTGACTTCTCCTGTGACTTGCTTGTAGAGATGGTCACATAGGACAGTTCATCACTGTCCATCACTCAGATGGTTGTGGAATGTGTCTTATCTTCTAGTAAAAGCATAAACTACTTGTGAGGAGTAAAGTCCTATGTTGAGAAAGATGCAGGATTTAGAGTCAAACAGGCCTGAGCTCTGGTTAGAGCCAAGCTTTGCCCCTTTCTAACTAGTGTGACCATCTCTCCAACTGAGCTTTCCTTCACCTGCATTGTGGGAGTAAGCAGCACCTTTTCATTGTCGGGGTGCTGTGAATACTCAAGGAGCCTGGTGCAATGCTCAGAGTAGCCAGTGCTTCAGATGAACGACAGTGATTATGACAGTTGCTATAGTGAAGCAGGGACCTAGTGTCTGACATCTCAGCATCATCTTGGCGTTAGTCCAGTGTTCATAGTAGGACCGACCCGGCTTGTCTGATGAGTTGGACCTTTGTTCCCTGCAGACTTTTTTGCATGTCTAGCTCAGCATGTGTGTGTTGCATTGAGATGCAAGGATGCTTTGTCCCATTCATCCCAGCTTGGCAGATCTGATTGGGGGAGGTGGGAAGAGGCTTACCTAGTACTGAAGGAGATAGAGGGAAATGAGTTTTTTTCAGTAAGAAAGGTTTTTTTTTTTTTTTTTTGGTACCAGGGATTGAACTCAGGACCTCACACTTACCAGGCAGGTGCTTATGCCACTAAACTAAATCCCTGGCACAAGGAGGTACTTTTTGAGGGTTAAAAATAGCTCAGAGTTGTAGATAGCAGTGTCGGAAAACTGCCAGCCATCAACCAGAACTTCTCCTTGTGCCTGCCCTTTGAAATTCTCTGAGAGAGTATCTGATTGGCTCAAGCAGTGTATGACATAGTCTTGAATGGGTCACATTCTCAACTGTCTGCTCATCCAGCCTAAGGATGCGCGTGATAAATCTGGAAGGGAAGGTTGAGCACAGCCCTGAGTTGACTGCTGTATCTGATATAGATATTGTGGAAGCTCATGAGGCTGGAGGATTTGAGGACATGACCTCAGAAACGTGATGCTAGAGAAGGGCAATTAATGTTCAAGAAGATCCAGAGGGAGTGCGGATGCCACAAACTTGTTCACTTAACTTCCCTAGAGGTCCGTCTGCCAGGGCGCCCTACATGGGTACCTAAGAGATGGGGTAGAAAGACACATGGCTGTGGCTCTACCATTGGGATTTGGGAGGGTCCTAGAAAACACTAACAGAAAGAGCAAGAGTGAGGTGGACAGGAAGGAAAACAATAAAGCGTATTCCCATAAGCAGGTTACTGTTGTGGGGATTTGGGGTTCAACGCCACTGAGGGTCATCAAAGAGAGAAAAGACTGGAATGTTTACCCCATATGTTTTCCATCATTGCTGCCATGCATGGGCTGTGCAGACTGAGTATACTTCTTAGGAAGACACAGAATTGACTGTTGGTCTATGTGAGAACTGAATGCAGGTGACCTCCAGATTGGGCCACCAGGAGATTGCCAAAGCACTAGGAACATTTCCATGACAGCCAGGACCATTTCGTGGAAACATGTTCCAACTCCACCTTTCACTGGGACTCTTGGGAATTCACTTAGCCTTCCTGTACCTCAGTTTCCCCATTTGTAAAAATGGAGATATTAACACTCACCTCTTAGGGAGGATGGTGCCTGATCTTAATGGAGTCTCAATCCTTATTTCCATTCTTTGTAATTACAAGAAGGAAAGAGAGGTAGTTCTCTTTTTTTCTATTGCATTTGACAACAATTTTGTGCATTATTTTCATTGGTTTACTAGATGGAGGCAGAAGAAGCTGCTGCTAAAACATCATCAGAAATGAACTTGGCAAGCTTACCTGCCATCTATCACAATGAGACCAACACAGATACCAAGGTGGGAAACAACACTGTCCATGTGCACCGAGAAATTCACAAGGTAAGGGCAGTTGTGGCCGTGCTTCTTCCTTTCTGCAATACCACTGAAGTCTGTTCAACATGGTATGTAAGCCAAGAGTGCACATGAAGACACTAAGCTTAAAAAGGAGAGGCAGTGAGAGGACCATATTAAGAGAAGAAATGTGTATCCGAAGCTTAAATTGCTTTTGCATTTAAACAATAACTTTTAACTCTGGGCTTCCTTCTGGTCTAGGAGGACTTTGTCTCTTAGATTTTTACGTTTGTCTCAGTAGCGAGATGTGACGGGGACCAGTTATTGTGCGTGGATAGATCCTCATTGCTTCTTTGGAGGAATTCAAACATGATACATCTGACCTCCAGAACAGAAACGCTTTGTTGCCATGACATGCAATACTCATTCCTTTGCTGCTTCTCCATCCAAGAGCAGATCTTCTTTCCCATCCTACCATCTGTGGAGAGTCTGTTGGGCTAGTGTCTTGCATGAGGAACAAGAAGGTTATTTCCTGTCCTGGGCTATTGAAGATAATTTTGCTAAGCTCTAGGAACATAGCAGTAGCCTAGTGTGCGGTATCTATATCTGTAGTGGGGTTTGGCAGGACTCAGAGAATAAAGGATGTCGGTCTACAGGTTTTTGAAGAGGGCATGCAGTGCACGTATTTAGCATCACTATTAGAGGCTGTTTGCTTCACATTCTGTTGTGATTATCAAAGAACCTGACCTCCAATCTGGTCTGAACTCCTATAGGCAAGGCCATGATGGCTGTCCTGAAAGAGGCTTGTGTTTGTTCAAGCACCCAGATAATTACTTGTTTGAAACAATAGTAATTCTGTGCCGTGGAGTGCAAGGGAGTCAACTTTTGTGGGCCATTGGTTCTATTATAAAGTAGCTTTTGTGTGACTCTTGTGCTCTGTGTGGTGATGGCCCCAGCTCGCTGGATCAGCCAAACAGAAGCCCTAGACTGGAGAATGAATATGAACGTGATTATTATACTCTCTTTAAAGCCAATATGAACCATCATTTCTGACAGTCATGTTGGTTCAGCTGCATCTTGAAGTTGTTCCCTGTAGATATCCGAATCCCTGTGTGTGAGTTCTACCAGTAACTTCTGTGACTTTGAAAACTTATTTAAAATTCCTAGCCCTCACTAACAGTACTTGCAAAATATGGATATCAACATTTATGTTATAGAATCTTAAAGGTCAAATGACCTGAGATACGTGAAAGATCATTATAAACTATAAAGTGCTGTGTAAATACAATTGGTCTTATTCTTACTGTTGTTATATTTATAGCTAAGTTATATTACCAACACAGTGAAGTATGTCTCAAGTGGTTTCTAGGAAGTACCAATTCTGTGCAGTGCTTTGTGAAAGAGGACTCTAGTAATGGGTAAATATATTTGAAAAACAATATATATGTTTTCCTCCTAGAGATGAAAAAAATTCAAGTGGGTATAATAAAGGCTCTGAGAAATTCTGTGAGTCATTCATATAAAAATGTAGAATTTTTTAAAAAAGCTATGCCACTGGTTAATCCTGAAAAATTTGCCATGAAGAAAGGCAGACATCATCCCTTTTTTGAGGAGGGGAATTATTTGAGTGAACATTTAAAAGCATAGTAAAAAAGACGTGGTCCTTACTTTTTCAGAACTGCAGTTTGATCCCTGACTGCAAAGTAGGCTATTTCCACTTTGTTCTGACTGTGGATTCTTGTGATATTTCAGGGACTTTAAACATGAAGTAGAAATGAGAAAACTAAATCAGAGAAGAGAAATGACTTGTTGCAGGTGATGCACTAGACGGTGGTTGGCAACAGAGCCAGGCCTCAAAGAACACAGACCTCCTAGCTCCTGGGCCGGGCCAGCCATTCGCCCTGGCCTTTAATGGAGCAGGACTGGCTTGGGTTTTCTGTTGGGCTTGACTTTTAGGTGCCTGCAGTTAGGTACAGAACTAAAGGCAGACAACAGACAGAAGAATATTGGCAAGTCTCCTGTTTCATGTAAGCACTTTCTTGATAGGATGAAGTCATTCCCCAGCATCAGGATGGAGGTGCTGTGACCAAAGCCCTGCTTCCCATGAAAGATGTTCGGGTGGACACACAGACCTGAAACCTATCAAAAAGAAAGTTGATACACTAAGAAAAAAAAAATCAGGAAAATCATCCTCCTTATGGTAGAGCAAAACAAACAAACAAATCAACCAACCAACTAACCTACCATCCTATGAACCAACCATAGAACCATAGAATTCTGAAGAAAAAGATGGCAAAGGACATTAGAAATAGAAAATCATGTCTTCTCTCTGGATAGGCAGAGTCAGTATTGTCCAAATGACCCTATTATCAAAACTGACTTACAGATTTAATGAAATAAATTCCTTTCAAAATACCAACATCAGAACTAGAAAAAATAATCCTAAGGTTTTTTGTAGAGCCAGAAGAGACCCAGAATAGCCAGAGCATCCTGAGCAAAAACAGCAAAGCAGGAGGCATCAAACCCTCACTACTAGCTGTAGTAACAAAAGAACAGCATGGTCCTGGCACAAAAGTAGGCACGCAGACCAGAGGGATAGAATGGAAGGTAAGACTCCCACGCACCTCTAGCCATCTGCTCTTTGACAGAGGAGCTAAAAATATACCCTGGAGAAAAGACAGCCTCTTCAACAAACGGTGCTCGAAACACTGGGTATCCACATGCAGAACAATGAGACTGGATCCATCTCTCGCACCCTGTCCTAGAATCAAACCAAAACAGGTCAGTGACCTAGATATAAAAACAAAAGCACCAGATCTGCTGGAAGATAAAATGGGGGAACACTTTGAGGCAGGCGTAGGCCAGGATTTCCTGAACACATCTCCAGTAGCACACGGAATAATACCAAGAATCAACAAGTGGGGTTACACTAAATTAAAAGCTTCTGCTCAGCAAAGAAAACAAGAGTGTAAAGCCTACAGAATGTGAAAAAAAGCTTCTGCCAGCAGCTCTTCTGATAGAGAACTGATAGCTTGAATACATAAAGAGCTAAAGCAAAAAACTTAGACCCCCTAGACGAATGACCTACTGAAAAAATGGGCAAATAAAATGAATAGACACTTCTTTTTTTAAAATTTTATTTAAGGAGAAAAAAGAAAAAAAAAACAGAAAAAGGGTACAAGTTATACAGAATTTCAGAAAAAATAAACAGTAGGAAATCACTAGTTAATAGATTACATATTGTCATCTTAGAAATAGTTGTTCAAGTTACAAAATTAAAGCATATAGAGTGGAGATTCAACAGACTGCAAACAGTTCTGTTCAATGATCCAATAAAACTCAGTAATGTGGTAACCTATCTTATACACCTAAATATACATGCAGTTATGTCCTTCAGAGCACTTTCTTTTCCTCTCTTTTGTACAATGACTATTACACATTTTGGGTTTTATTACTCCCACTGTTCTTACTACTTTTTTTTTTTTGAAGAGAGTAAAACTAAATGTGACATAACAAAACGGAGTCAATCAAATCAAAAGGATGGACATAATACATAATGTAAAAACAGAATACAAGGTGATCAACAATGGTTACCATAATGCCTCTTGCTATCTTAAAAAAATTGCCTATATCATCAGTTATAATAAAATTGAATAAAACAGTAAAGAACAAAACCAATAAAACCAAAATATTAGAGACATTAGAGGACTTCAAATGAAGATAATAGTCAACCAGAATGGGCGTCATAATGAATCTTTTTGTCTTCACAGTTTTGCCTATACTCTCGAACTTGGTACCATCAAGCAAAACAGAATAGAGGAAAATCAGTCAAAACAAGATGGTGAGATCAATACAGGGTTTCAAATCAAGTTAGTAGGAAATTAAAGTGGGTTACTATAATATATCCTACTATTTTTTTGTTTATTTTTCCCTTAATTAAAAGGATAAAAATGAAAAAATAAATAATAAAAAAGGAGATTGAGATAAAAGAGGGCATAACAACAAACAACACAGGTCAGAACATAACCATTTAAGCAAAATAGTGTTTCACCACAAGATTATCCCGACATAAAAGTAGTTACCATAGTGACACTTCTCAAAAGATGAAATACAAATGCAAATAAGTATGTGAAAAAATGCTCAGCGTCCTGATTTTTTCAGTTTGTCAGCTTTCTTCTTGATAAGTTTCAGGTCTCTGAGTCCACCGGAACCCTGAGCAGCTTTCATGAGAAGCGAAGAGGTTTTGGCCTCTGCAGCCTCACTCCCGATTCTGGGGAATGACTTCATTGCATCGGGAAAGTGCTTTCATACATTTGATCTGACGTGCAAATCAAAACAACACTGAGATTCCATCTTACTCCAGGGAGAACAGCTAATCATCAAGAACTCAAAAACAATAAATGCTGGCAAGGTTGTGGGGGATACAGAAACCTTTCTCCATAGTTGGTGAAAATTTAAATGACTGTAATCACTATAGAAATCAAATTCAGAATTTCTCAAAAAAAAACCCCTAAAAATAGCAATTTGATTTGACCGAGATATTCTTCTCTTAGGTATTTCCCCAAAGAGTTAAATTTATCAGATTACAATGATAACTTGTCTATCCATGTTGATAATAGTGCAAATCACACTCCTTACCTGTAGAGGTCCATTAACAGATGAATGAAGAAAATGTGGCATATATACACAATGAAGTATGATGCAGCCAGAAAGAAGGATGACTGAATCACCTGTAGGAAAATGGGTGGATCTTAAAACCATGATGTTAAGTGAAATAAATCAGATGCAAAAGGTTAACTGTTGCATGGTTTCTCTTATTGGAGAAATCCAAAATATGACTAAATGTAATAGTAAAATAAAAGAGAGATGACAGGAAACAGGGAAGGAAACTTTTTGGAGATGGGGAAGGGAATTGGGGGAAGCAGGAGCATGATGTGATTAAAAAGATCGAATATGCATATACAGATTTCCCAGAAACAGTGTCGTTATTGTGTATCAAAAGCATATCAAAAATAAGAAGTTGAGTTTCAAAGGGTGAGCCCCAGGAATGGGGAGAGTAGCTGCTGTGCTGAGCTCCTGGTGTCACCCATGGTCCCCTCCTCACTTCCCTCCTGGTGACCCGAGGGGGCACAGTCTCCCTGTCTTCTGGTTCAGCACCGAAGGACACTGTCCATCCCACAGCTGCCAGCAGACCCCAAAGTGCACGTGGGCATCCTGGATACTTTACCCGATGCTCCTATTTCAGAAAAGGAAAGAAAAATGTCTCATGGGGTTTCCCAAGTCACTGTGATTTCATTTTCACTGTGCCTGTTCTCCTGCAGATAACCAACAACCAGACTGGACAGACGGTCTTTTCCGAGACGATTATTACATCTGTAGGAGATGAAGAAGGCCGAAGAAGCCACGTAAGTTGGCATCTCCTGTGCCTTTGTGTGGCCTGTCCTGCCTGGCAGCCCAAGCTGTAGGCCACGGGGAAAGGAGCTGACTCTGCCCTGCTTCTGCCAGGATTCCCCAGTGCCTGCTTCCTTGACCAGACCTCACTGTCTGATTGCACACTATCCCTGGTTTGGGAACAACAGAGAACTTAAATCCAGTTGTTATTTGTGTCTCAGCTGTGAAAGGGGAGCCAGCAGGTACCAAGTACACCGATGGGGACTCTGTTGGAGGACTTCATGCATCAGATCATAAAATCCCCAGAGCCTCCAGGGTGACCCACACTTTGTATCATCCAAGCCCTGGCCAGGGAGTTTGATGTGTTAGGACAAAGGCTGCCGTCATTACAGGCTTCGGGCGGGCTCTGGGTCCTTCTAACTTTTCCCCCTGGGTTGTCTCTTGCTTAGTCTCAAGGTGGAATGGATTGTGTCATAGTCTAAAGGCCTAAAGTTGAAAAAGATAAGAGGGAAATCCTTCTGGGGATGACCCAGTGGGAGTCACAGGTCTGATCTCCAGGCCAGAGGAGGCTCAGTGGCACGTTGTCTTCTCAAAGAGATGAGCCGGCTGTGACACGGATGTGCTCAGCAGCAGCAGTTTCCTCCTTTATGGAGACTGCCAGGACCAATTTCCTTGTCCCTGAATGACTTATGCAACCCCCCAGCTTTCCAAGGGCATCAGATTTGTGCCTTCCTCTTCTGGCCTTATTGCTGGAAGAAAACTAATGTACTGCTATTCCTTAAGAAGGCAATGTTGTTTTGGTTGGAAGTTGGCAATTTTTTTGCTTGTTTTGGCACGGTGCTTAAATGTTGGGAGCTGGCTGACGTGTACTGCAGGCTGGTGGTCTTGTGGGCTGTGTGAGGGTGGACATTCACAGGGCTCTAGTGGGTATGGGTACAATGCCATGAACTGGAAAGGGAGACTCTGGAGAATGGAAGCAATTTGTCATCTACAGGCAGGGGCCATCTTGGTTTCTTCATCTGCATGTGAAGGAACTGTGAAGTAACAACTTCCTAGGCATGGAAGTGCAGAGGCCTAGGAGACAAAGAAGGGGTTAACTGAGGCGGAGAAAGCGGAGACAGGCCAGCCAAGGGATGCAGTCCTGGTGGAAGCTGGAGGGTTCCAAGAGGGAAAGCCTGCAGAATACCCCTGAGGGAGTCCGTATGGGGGCCTGGCGAGGGACAGGTCTGACACCTGCCCACATGACTTGATGTTCACTGGACAGTGGGGGCACTCCTCTGTGTGACAGCCTAGGAGAGGAGGAGGCTGGAGGGGATGGGTAGACACAGGACACCAGGCCCTGAGGGTATGGGGTCAGTGAGTTTCCCCCAGGGAATAAATATCCATTTGATTGGCTGGGAGGCAGATCTGGGGGGCTGATGATGGACCGTGCAGTGTCTGGCAAATGCCCCAGGCTTTGGAGAACACTCTGGAGACTTACCACGTTTCCTGTAAGGGGATGCCATGTGGTTGAGATGGTGTTAGCAGTTCAGTACCAGACCCCTACTCCTTGTAGAGGGGCCAGTTTGAGTCAGGGGAAAAGATCCAGTTTCCAGTGTACCCAGCCATTGCCGCTAGACCTCACCCTAACACAGTAGAGCCAGGGCTCAAGGGCTCACTGAGTCATGGACCTCTTTTTCTGAGCAAGATTCTTATGAAAACCAGATTGCTTTTAGAGAAATGCAAAGGATCGTGCATTGTCACCATGGACCCATTACTTGCAATTTAATGATTTTTACAGTTGGTTCTAAACTGTACTTCATGCTACAGAAATCATCTCTTAAAGGAAAACACAGATTTGTCATTCCAGATGAAAAAAATCGTGTGCTGTTCAAGCCTTCAGTCAGCATGAATGGGGGCTCTAAATTTTCAGGACTTAAAATTCCCAGATGAATTTGATTAAAAATAATCACCAAGCACCTCATATTTTCCTTTCTTTAAATGCCAGTATGTGTCCTAACATGCATGGTAACTTGATCAGGCTCTTGGAAAGTTACTGACAGTAACTCTATATCCTTGTCTAGGAGTCTGCAGACTCTGCAGAGCCCTGGTCTGTTTCTACACTCAAGTGCAAGGGGGGAAGGACGGGCTGGTTTATTTCACCTGAGTGCATCAGCAGCAGTGATGTGGGCTGACAGGGGGCTTTTGTGCTGAGTCCTTGCCTGGCTGCTTCAGGGGCCAGTGGGTAAGCTGGCCAGTGTCATGCTACTTTTGTGCAGAAGATTAGGAAGAAAATGTTGAAAACTTCAGAGTGGACGAGCCATTGTGTGTGCATGGACATGCCTTATGGACAGAAGAATCTGCCGCAGTTAGCCAAGGCACCGTTCTGAAAGGATGCACCCTCTAGTTAAATACAGCTCACAGCTACAAGGCTCAGCATGCCTTGCGTTTGCTGCCTTTCTGGTTTCACCTTCTCAAATGATAGAACAGAATGTGTGTATTCGCTTTTGTACCCAGACACACCTAGTCTGAACTGCAGGTTCATTCATGCATCAACTCCAAAATACTGGTCAGTTCCTGAGGCCATAGGTGGGCACATTTCACTACCAGAAACACCTAGGCAGTAAATTTGGAGTGACCCAGTAACTTACTAGATCCAGAGACTGACCCCTGCCTCCCAGTTCTTTTTTTTGCCAGGAGACAGTGAGCTAAGAGTGATGATCTGTCTCTGTCTCTGTCTCTGTCTCTGTCTCTGTCTCTGTCTCTCTGTCTCTGTCTCTCTCTGTCTCTCTCTCTCTGTCTCTCTCTCTCTCTCTCTCCCCCCTCCTTCCATCCCTCCCTCCTTGAGTTATTTCCTGCCCCAACTGGATGCCCCCAGCATCCAGAGGAAAGGCAGTTTCCTCCTGGGACCCTACTGAATTCACAGAATTTCAGATGACTCCCTCCAGGTTGTCCACGCTCTGGGGTTATTTCCAGGGAGACTGAGTACTTAGTGGAGAAGGACCCCAGGAAAGGTAGCCCTTGAGGCAGAATGGAGAAATGAGGACAAGATGTGAGCTGGGTCTGGGTTCGAGTGAGGCTGAGGCTGAGGCCGAAGCCTTTATAAGCTCTGCCCTTGGTGACCCGTTTCTTTATGGGTCATTTGGGACAAATAATCTCCTTTTCACAAGACTGCGTGAGGATCCGTGTGGTGAGGTTTACAAAAGCTCTTTGTCTGAAGCTCATTATTATCGAAAAGCAATTAAAACTGGGCTCTAATTGACTTGCCCCCGCTTCCCAGCAAAGCACTAGAAAAGCAGTGGACTGGGTAGAAGCAGAGAGGGGATGGGAAGCCCTTCCCGGATGCCAGGAGTTGGACCCTCCGAGCTCTCGAGCCAGTTTTGCTGGGGCTGGAGCTGAGAGCTGTGAGCCACAGGCCTGGTTCATCTGGGTGCTGCCCCTCCTCTGAGCGTGCCCGGGCTCCTGGGGTGGGTGCTGGGGACAAGGGAAGGGTAAAGAGTGAGAGGCTGATGGGCAAGTCCTGCAAGGTCGTGGATGAGGACTCATGTTGGCAGTGTGGGTGCCAGTTCCTGTACCCAGAGAGGCCTTGTTCCAAGGGTGACAAGGGTCCTATGTGTGTCCAGTTCTGCTCTCCTGCAGCCACACTAAGAATATGGCTGTATTTGGGTTTCTGGATTCAGATTTTGAATTGACTTTGTGATTTGTAGTCATGTATAAAGTCCTCAGCTTTATCCAGTAGAGAAAAGTGGTGGGGAAAATTAAGTAATTGCATATTCTGAGAGATGACTAAATAATCCTGCAGTAAATAGTTAATGTGGACAAGCGGTGTTTACGGGGTAGGGATTTCGTTTTGAGCTGTAGCCTGGGATATTAATTTGTATTCTCTTCTACTGAGATACCCTTTGAAAAGGAGTTCATTAAATATAAATAATTCCACATCCAAAATCATTCCTTGGAGCTCATATATAAGTTTTGTATAAATTGGTATAAAACAATGTCTTCAATAAAATGTTAACTTAAAAAAGCAAATTTCAGCAGAATATATAATATGTACATTATATAAAATATATATAAAACAAAATATCTCATTGTAGGAAAAGATGCATTAAAAGTGTGATAAATACATGTTAAATTATTAATAGTAGAAATCTCTGGAGGAATTTAAATTTGGTGGAGTTTTCTTTTACAAACATATTTTAAAAATATTTTTTAAAAGACTGTAAATTATTCATAATTTTGTCAGCACCAACTACCTGTATTTTTTGATTTTGCAAATATTTTCATTGTGTCACTGTTAGAAATAAATTTCCTGAGTCAAAGGGTAAGGCCACATAAAATCGACAGATCCCGCTGACTTTTCCTCTTCACAGCCATTTCTAAGGCTTCTGTCACCAAGCCTGACCTACGATGGTGTTACGATGACTGATCTACTGGGAGGCAAGGAAAGAGGACAGTTTCTTTGTTCTTCTGCATTGCTGATTATGAGTCAGTCAAAGCCAATGGTTGTTTGAAAATTGTAAGTTGTAGCAAATATAGAGGACTCCTCAAATTGACTGCATCCCTGTCTTTGTCCCAGAGAAAGTTCATTTGGCATTCCAGACTATTTCTAAGGCCAAATACTGTCTGAGCCAGTGTGGGGCAGATAGGGAGATGGGGGGTCCTAGGAGACCAGGGAATGGGGGCTGTGTGGTCTGACAGCTGAGTCACATGGGCGTAGGTGGTGGTGAGTTGCGTGTTATTGCCTGTGCCCTTGAAAATTAAAAAAACGAAGACACTCCCTCCCTCCTTTCTTCCTTCTTTCTCTCCTCAGACACCCCAAACTGGTCCATACATGCCTTTGGCAGAAACAGCACTTCAGTGAGGCAGTGAAGGGCTGGGCACAGGCAGATCAGTCAGATGATATGCTTGTTGCTTAGTAGTGGTGCGATTTTGGTTACATTTCTGTGCAGTCAGCTTTGGGCCACTGTGACAAAGTGCTTATGAAAAATGAATTTAAAGGAAAGATTTACAGTGGCTCATGGATTCAGAGGTCTCG